TTACAACAGAAGAAGTACTCAATACAATAGTTCAACTCCCAAATAGCAAAGCCTGTGGTCCCTCAGGTATAAGCTACAAAATGATCAAACATGCTAGCCCTACATGCATTCAAGCTATTACTGCCTTATTTAACCGCTGCCTGGAGTTAGAGCAAATAAAACTATAAATTTAGAAAATTTTTTCATATACTATACATTTTGAGAATATATATTTAAAAGGTCTGATTATATAAATTTAAATTTAAATATATTAATTTTTAATTAATAATTATTTAAAGTAATTTCTAATATATATATATGATAAATTAATTACTTTATATTTTGTATTATAATATTTATTACTGAGTACTACAAAAAAAAAGAATATTTAATTTTTAAGTTTATTATTTTTATTATTTATTATTTAGCAGATTTATTCTATATATATTTTTTTACTAGCAAAATTATATCTATTTAGTACTTTGAGCTTTTATAAAATAATAGTTTCAAGAGATTTAAAATTAAACTATAATATAAATATTAAAGTTTATAAATAAATATACCAAAATTCTATTAAAGTGATAATCACTAGCCAAATCTTAACTAATAATTACTATTAAATCTAAAAAGAAAAAAATAATTTTAGTTAATCTGATTAATTTAATAATAGCAAAATTAAATAATAGTTTATTAATACTCTTTTAGAATAGATATATAGATATAGAAAATAAAGTATAATTGTAGTAATATAGCTAAGATTTTTGACAATAAAAAAATTGCTATTTCTACCAGAACTCTGAACAATTTACAAACAGCAAACATTTTGCAAAAATTATTAAAAATAGAATGATTTGCAAAAAAAGTCTAAAATAAGCAAACTAATTACTATAAATAAAAAAATCAATAAAAAATAATCTAAAATAAGCAGACTAAAATTTTATCTGTCTATAGATTGTTCAGGGTTCTTTTCCACACTATTTTTGCTAATACCACTTCTCAGATATTTTAAAAGAGATATTGTTATTAAGTAAATTTTCTTTTTAATATTAATAAAAGTTGTTTATCAAGCCTTTTTGGTTATAATAGTTATAAAATCATTAAAATTAAACTAATAGTTTTTTTAAATATAAATAAAAGTTAATTAACTACCAATATAAATATCTTAAAATCTACTAGTTTAATTTTAATGATTTTACTATTATTAGAACCAGAAAAACCTGATGAATAACTTTTATTAAAATCAAAAAGAAAGTTTCTTAATAACAATATCTCTTCCAGAGAACTTTTTAAATTTTGAAGGGTGATATTAGCAAAAATAGAAGTGGAAATAGCAATTCACTAAAAAATAATATAAATACTTTTTTGTTAATTTTGCTGCAAAGTAAAAACTATAAATAAAGAATAATAAAAAAGAGTTAGCTAAATAGAGTATAAAACTTTAAAATTAATAAAGAAGTATATGTAAAAGTCTTATCAGAAAATTCAAATTAATTTTTTTTCTTATAAATTTGTTATAAATAAAGGTAAAATTTTTCTTCTTAATAAATAAGTGCTATATATATTTTAAGTAAATAAATAAAGTTATTAATAAAGTTTTAACTACTATACCTAATTTTTTTAAGAATTTATTCTAAATACCCTTGTAATATATCTCAATAAATGCTTTAAACTATATCAAATTGTATTTTTTACTTTTTTATTAAATATCAATATATAATAAATCCTATAGTCAAGTGACAATTTGTAATTTTTTCTTGTTTTGCTAATAATAAATTTTTGACTATTTCTTGCTAACAATATACTAATATTAGATATTTTAAAGGCTAAATCTGATATTAAAAATTCTAAAATTCTAAAATCTCTATTTGTTACTAATTAATATTAAATAGAAAGCTTTATAAATATATCTTTATTATTATAAAATTATAACTAACCTTTTATTTAATACTGTGTACATATATATAGTTACTTATTACACAAGCATTTTCAAATAGTGAATGATAAATTAATAAAGAAAACTAAAAATAAAAATAAAATAATAAAAATAAAAGCAAAGCAATAATAAAATATAACAAAAATATAATTAACTAAAATTATATAATAATAAAAGTTAAAAAAATTAATTAAAAATTTTATAATATTAAAAACTTTAAATATAATTTATTATAAATAAAATTAAGTAAATATAAGTTCTTTATTTAAATCTAATAGTTATATTAAATATATTATATAGTATAAAAAATGAAATTAACCAACAAGAGTTACAAAAAATGCAAATAATTTTGAAAAATATATTAACTAAAAATTAAACTTAAAACAAGCTAAAACAAAACTAAGCATGGACATTTTGATATCTAATAATTATTTATAATCGTTCACTTTCTTATTATTAGCTGATCAAACACCTAATTTGTGTAACCGAGAATCATCTGATCTGCACTCTATACTATACAAGGTGCGATCTATGTTGCTTATCTCTGGTAATAGGTCTGATTGAAATACAGGATTATTGTACATTTTGGTATATTTTCCTAATGCCCAAATAGTAAAAATAAATTTATAATTCGGATAAAGAACTGCACAATTCATAAATGACCCTTCTACAGCCTCTTGCTTCCATTCACCTGTTGGCAATTGTCGTGATGCGATAAGCTACAAAAAAGGTGGTTTTGATAAAGATATTAAAAATAAGATCATACTGCATTCATATCTGCAGATTCGGATAAGGAAACCCAATCTCCCCAGGTTAAGGTGCGTCAATTATATATAATTTAATATGTCTAATGAGGTGTGTTACTGGGAGGATTGGATTTCCTTATCAAAATCAGCCGATATGTTTTTATAGCATCAAATTAATCGATATATACCTGAATGCCACGTCGAATTGGTTCCTCATTTGGATAATTGCCTGCCATTAAAGCAAGCACTGCCCAAGCAGTATTTACAATTTGCGAGTTTTCATGGTGTACATAAGTCATTGTCTCACATGACTACTTAAAAGCAGAAAAATAAAAAATCTTGAATATAATAAATAGAATATAAACTTTAAATACAATGATATAACCTTATAGGATTCACCCCAACCACCATCATCCTTCTGTTTAGAAATTAAAAAGTCGCATCCTTTTCTAACTATCTCACTAATTGATAAAATTATTTAGTCAATTAATTTATTTCTAACGCCGCAAGATTAATTAATGCGTTTAAGAAATATATATAATACCTATTTTCGTATGTTTCACCAAAACTTTCAAGACATTGAATAGCAAACATAGCAGTAAATGTGTAACAAATACCCCAAGTACCATACCAGCCGCCATTTTTATCTTGAGAATTATGTAAGAATGTAATTGCTTTTTTGGAAGCTTGCCTAACACCAAAGAAGAAATTTAATATATAAAACAATCATAAGCTTAATAACATTAATAAAAAATATTATTACTTAATTTCGGCAGCCCTATAATCAGGATACCATTTATGGAAATAATTTAGAGCTGTTATGGCACAAGATGTTATTTCTGGATAACTATATTCAATCATAATATTTCCAAAAATTTCCGCAGGATTTAACCTTTCAAGAAATTTTGGGCCTCTAGTGCGATCGTAGGTCGCAAATCCCCCATCAGTATTTTGCTTAGACAATAATATATCAACGGCTTGACAAAGTCGTTCTTTAGATACTAAATCTTGTGTGTAACTATTTTTTATGAAAAATCAAAATAAACATATTTTTTCAATGATTTGTTCAAACTTCAAATTTTCGCCAGAAAACATACCTAAGTTCTTTTTGAAGATTAAGTACAGCTTTGATACCTAAACTAGTACAATCTGCAACATAATATCCCTGTTGACGAGTGCTATAACCCCAACCACCTAATGCGTCATCACGATAACATTTTTTAGGATTATTAGGATTTTTTTTTATTTGTGAATCATCTAAAAATTCTAGTGCGTGTATCATTGATTGGTGATTTGAAGGATCGTCTGCCAATCCTATTATAAAAAATAAGTTTAAATAATTGAATTCCTGAATTTGATAAAGACGCAATTACTACCTGCTTCAGATACAGCAATGACTGTAAACGCAGTATCCCAAACTTGAGTACCATCCGTACCAGTCATCAACATTCCTTCTTGACCTAGCCTAAACGAAAAAATAAGCTTTAATATTAATTAACAAATAAGTTTTAGAAATAAATTAAATGAACTAAGGTTTTCATGCCACAAATAATCAATTAATCTTTCTTTGGCAAGCCTGAATGCTTCAGAATCTGGTCCTTCCTCGTAGTATATGCAAAGAACATGCATTACTTTGTTAACCTAACAATTTAAAAAAGGTTCAATATTGAATATCATGAGTAAAATAAAAAGAAAAAATAATATAAAGGTTTATGCTTACAGCAGCAAGATCAATATAATCCGTATTTTCATCTTCATATTTAATTAATTTATAACTCTTTTTAATAGCAATATTTCGGAGCCCAAAATTAGGAAGTTTTTCATAAATTTTGAACATAACTAAAATAACAATGCATTAGACCTCAATAATAATTACTAAAGAACAAATTATAAAAAGTTAACATACAATTGCTAAATTTTAATAGTTTGCTATGCGGAACATAAAGATCAACTTCTGCAATATTATTTCGAGCTCTAATCCAATTAATTGTCTCAAATGGTTGAACATATAATTCCTGCCTAAGTTGTTCGATTAATGGAGTAACTTCAGCACTTATTCTACGTCCATAACAGTATCCCATTGGGAGATATACTGCACGAGTATGCATCCAAAGACGACCTGGATGAAACGGTACAGAGTACGGAAGGAGCCTTTTTTTATTTATTAAAAGTAAGTAACGATGTAATTATAAAAAAAAAAAATTTTTTTTGAGAAAATCACCATAGTTCTGGTGGAATTGGATTAAGTCCTTTCCAGTTATATACATTTAAACATGCTAGCCAAAATTTTCCCCATGTAGGCGCACCAATTGCACCTCCTATTAAGTCCCCGAAATTTTTGTATATAATTAATATGAAAGTGTTAGTGAATCCTTGTAAGGATAATAAATAAACATTAAACCTCTTACCAAGTTTGTGCAAAGTTGCTCTACTTTTTATCATTACCGGATGACCGGGATCAAGACCTAAGATACGAAGCACAACATAATTCAAAGCGGTTCCAAATACCGTTGAATGATGTTCAATATGCCTAAACCAATTTCAATGTTGTGACTTGTTCAACCCAACATAATATAAAGCGAAAAAAAAGATGCTATCACAGAATATGGAAGACGGAAAATAAACTTACAACCCCCATCCACCGTCAACAGGATTTGCTCTATTAACTAAATATCGAATAATTTCGATTCTCCAAGCTTCTGGGATAGGAATATGCGTAATATACATTGTGATAATAAGTCCTGGTATCAAAAACATTTGCCCAGAACATAAACCTGCCCAATGTCCATCAGAAGTTTGTAAATGTTTATAGAATTCGAACCCATTC